AGCTCGACTAGGCGGGCTCTCTCGGAGGCCGTCTGGCGATGTTCGTTCCTCCGCGCTGGCGGCGCGGGCTCCGGTCGATGTGGTGTCCCCGGTGTCGATGTCTGGTCGACTCGTCGTCCTCCCAGCCGCGTGGTCCGCTCTGCGCTGTCGGCGGGGGTAGTCCTTCCCGCTGAGATGACGGCCAGCAGGCCGCTGGGGCACGGGCGGATGCGGCTGCGAGGTCGGCGGCTGCGTAGTGGTGGCTGCGACGTGGTGGCGGAATCCTGAGTCGTCTCTGCGGCGTGGTCCTCCTCCTCCGATGTCCGCGGTGATGGCTCGTTCAGGTGCCTCTCGGCAGGAGTGCCTAAAGTCCACTCAACGGCGTGAACGGCCGCTGAGAAGAGGTCGGCGAGAGGAGGCACGGCGTGAACGGCCGCGTCGAAGGGTCAGGAGCCCCCCTATGGCGTGAGCGGCCACCGAGGGGAGAGTACGACCTGTGTAGGGTCGGTAACGCCGGACTCAAAAAGAGCCGTATAGCTGACCGCAAGCGGTCGGGCCTCAGTGTCTCCTTAGCCGTGTACGGGCCCCAGAGCGCACTGAGGGGTAGTGTCGGTTGCTCGTGCCGGCCGCTCTTATATAGCGGCCGTGTGGTCTTCTGCGCACGAGTTGGTGATTGTCCGTGTAAGCCATCTCGCGGCGAGCGCGCGGATCACTCTCGTGCGCGGGCGGGCCTTTCGGCTTTTCACGCACGAGTAGGCGGTCGGACGTCTGGCCATCTCGTGGCGAGCGTGTATCACTCCCGTGCGCGGGCCCACGATGTCAGCGCGTGGCAGCGCGGCGGCGCGCGCCGACGCGCTCGGTGCAGGGCCGGAGTGGCGGTGGCCGCCACAGTTCTTTTGAGCTCAGCTGTTACAAGTTTACCAATGACATCTGGATCATAAATGTCATTATTATTTCGATTCTGCATAACTGTGGATGTCATCGAACTGAGCGTATTATTCATTTGAGACAAAGCTGTTTCCATAGGATCGACATTTTGTTTCCTTTATGTCTGTTAGTTCCAGTAAAACAAGATGTAGGCATATTCTGTGTTTTTAATAACAGAGTCGATAGCTCGTCTGTTATTGAAACTGGTATATTTGAATGTGGTAAAGGAGCTGATGATGACCGTATCGGCGAAGATATCGATCTCAACATTGGCGAAGATGTCGATTGCAGTGTTAGCTACATAGGCGTTGATGACTAAAAGTGGTAAAATTTATAAATAAAGATATATTATTGTTATATTAATATTTTTAGACATCTATAAAATACTTACGAATGAAGATTGACTCACATCAGTTATATTATAACACTGTACAGATAATAATTTTGTCTGATATCTCATAGATGAATTGATCAAACTTTTCGTACATATATTTTCAATGTTATCATCATGTAATTCACCAGTCTTTGTTTCATTTTGTATACATTTTTGACTGTTCACAGACGGGTTGACTTGTTGAGTGATATTAAAATAAGTTCTAAAATTATGAAAATTACAATTCATCACAAATATTATATTATAAATATGCATAAAAACAATGCTTAGTAAATATATTCAATCCATATTCATTATCACAAAACATAAAAAAAACCTTCTCTGAATGATGATATTTTCCAAGAAACTTAAATAATCAAAAAGAACTCATATTTACCTTTGTCGCGAGCGCCGAGAACGCAATCACGCTCACCGCTGACAAAGCGGATTGCGGCAAGCGATACTTTATCCGACGAATTATTATTTTACCAAGCGATAGCGATTACCAACGCTACCGTGCTAATCGCGCAAATATTGTGTAATCGTTCCACGTGAAGCAACTGTTAACCGGGTTGCGCGGCCCTTACGCGGAAAACCGCCGCGCGACCCAGAAATATACCGCGAACGCTGACGAACATGTTGATGACACGGCAAGGACCGGCCGCCTGGAACAGGATAAAAACGGAAGACCGATACTAGGAGAGGACTCGTCGAGATCCGCGTGCCGTCACGTCTGTCGCGGTCCGAATTAAAAAGGACAAACTGTTCAAGTGTTAATAAAATTTATTGAAATTAAAACGAAGTGGTGAGTGCTTCCTCCCCGCCGACTTGACCGATCCACCGAAACGACCCGCACAACACCTTGTTATTTTTCCTGCTCCACTTCTTGTTTCATTTTCTCGTAGCTGCCTCTCCTTACTGAAGAATTGACGAAGACGTAACCAACGTATTTGAGTCTAGAACTATATAATTTGCACATACAAAACATTATCACTGTTATTCACTTGTTATAATTATGTATATCATATAATTATGTATATCATTTTTAAATTATAAGTGAATGTTTACTGCAAGCATCTAGGTGGAGCCTATATTATAACTTTTCTTCTAATGAAATGTTTATTGTTGGTGCAAGATGAACTAAGCTATGGAAAAAAGTTATTTAAAAACTTTTCAATATAACTTACTTGAACTTTTTAAAATAGAAGCTATCTTTGACTATGCATTTTGTTTCATATTAATATCTCGAAATTCTTTTAACTTTTTATCATAAATAAATGGGCGAGATTGTATTAAATCTATCAAAAGCTCATCCCCATATTTTTGATTTCATATTCCGTATGCTGTCTTCGAAAGTAATATTATCGGTATCTTATCAATAAATTTCATTTTTTTACAATAATCATGATTAAATGTCACGTTTGCGATACTAGCAATCTTTGAAACTAGTCGTAAATAAAATATAACCTCAGAAAAGCGCTTCAAACTTCAGAATAGTGTTAAAAATTTTTCTTAGAGTTTGTTTTTTATTCCCGCCCTAAGACTGCACTAGAACTGAATTGAATTGAACTGGTGCAAGCCAGAATTGATTCTTACACTGGAAGAAGAAAGATAAACTCTGAACTAGTACAGCCAGTACAGCTAAAAAGAACAGACCCCTAGTGCAAGCCAGAACTGACGAGTGTAAGCGTGCAGCTAGGGAATAGAAAATGATTTAGTGCAAGAAAAAAATGGCGTCTCATATTATCAGTATGGAAATATTAGATTTGTTTTCTGATGAAGACGAATTTATTTATTAAAAATTACTTATTGAATAAATTATAAATTATTACTTTTATGTCATTTTATCCTATATTGAAATGTAAATATTAAAGTCTTTTAAGTCTCAAGAGAAATTCTTATTTTCACATAGTACTGTTTAAATATTACTTAGTAGTAATATTACTTATGACTTGTGACGTGGCGCTTTGCAGCTGTCGGTCACAAGAGGCGTAGGCCTCGATCGCGGGGGAGGTTGACTCGGATCCGCATCCTCCGATAGGGCGAAGGAAAGCGGATAGTCGTTGTTTGGTCAGAGGACCCGTTGTCGCGATCGCGTGCGGCGTTATTATTTTTAGGACGCGGAATGACAGCTGCCTTCTACATGTATTTTACGCTCACCGACAATGGAGGATCAATGTGGCGAATACGCAGATGCAGGAAGAACAGCTGAGGAAGGAGCGACGTGGAAGCATGATAACACACAAGTCGTATTATCCCTCTCGCACTTATGTCAGTAGTAATGGAAGTGCCGCTGTGAATTAAATAGATCTTTTTTTCTCTTCTTCAGCTGAGAACGTTGTCACTGCCGATCGAAAGGCAAGCGGGGCGAGGACGGGGTAGGCGCCACTCCATGGAACAAAACGTGGAGGACCTCGGTCACGGAATGTCCCGGTGAGGCTCCGGCAACCGGCGAGGATACCGAGTTGACGGGATGAGACGCGAGAATCTCAGAGCCGGAGGAGCCAAGAAGCCGAAGGATATAGCCGCAGATGCCGCCGCGTTTTGAGTTTCCCGCGAAGACTTCGCGGTGCGCAGCCGATTAGAGTCATGCGATTAGTTATGATCGATTTTCGACCATAGTAAACTGCAAGAGGAAGACGGCGACCGCCTGCGTGTATTCCGCGGAAAGATCACTTATCGTGGTGCGCTCATATTGGACGGACGTGAATCCGAGTGCCGTCAATCTGCCGAGAGAGAATAGTAAGAGAAAATAATCAGCGTTGGTGAACCGGGCATTCTTTTTGTGTAAAGCCGTTGTCGTCGCACGAACAACGGGCGAAACGAGCGAACGTCGCGGAAATGCCAGTAGCGCGAGTTGATGTGAGTGATAATTAGTGTAACGAACCAAGTGCCGGTGCCTGTGACGGTCGTGACGATTGCCTGCCATAGAGGGAAGTTTGGACAACGTTTTCGCCCCCCGCCTCTCTCAGCGGCCACGTTAAGTCACCTCTTAATGTTACTTTGCCGTTTGCAATTAATGTACGCGACGTCTTTTCTTGTCGTTCCGATTGTTATCAACTATTGTATCGCGCGGTGGAACTGCGCTGCATTTACGTACTGAGTTGTTATGACAGTTGTGAATCGTCCTAGAGTGGTGTCGCATGGATTCCAATTATCATTAACGTATGATTTCGTTATTGTTGTGCTGTTTGTTAGTTTTGGTATATTTCGTTATCCTGCCTTCGCGAGCTTAATTTGCTGTGCATCCTTGCTTGCGCCTACTATTTATTCGGGTTGCAGATTGTTGCGCGTTTATTATTGTCTTATCCATGATCTAAGTATTTACGCCGACTAATTGCATGTCTAATGTTATATTTTTTTTGCTGCCAGTTTCGTTGCGAATCTCGGGAGCTCGTATAGCGAATCTTGCATGCGAAAACCGTTGCCGAGTTGACACGAATTCTGTTCTCGAAAGCTCTAGATATTGCCGGCCGTCTACTTGTTTATGACGTGCGACCTACGGATCAGCCGTGCGCCGCGTGATCGATGAGATCAAAATTATGTTGTAAACTGCCTCAAGGCCGCGCTGAAGAGTTCGCTAATAAACTTTTTCTTAATTGTTAACCATCGACTTTAATTATTTACTGGCCCCTCTCTCATCTCTCAAATAGCACCCTGATCACCGAACTACTTCCTCTCCTTTCTGAGCAGCCATGCAATCTGTCGCCGCGTGCCGCGTTTCGGCCGTAAACAAATACGAACACTCGTGACACATGCCGCGTGCCTGACGCCCAACCGTGTTATATGCAAGCGATTAACGAATCTTAAAAAATAACTGTCGCGTGTCGACTATTTGCAGCGGACCGAGAGGCACGGACGCACGGCGGATTTGGACCGCACGGTCGTGAGACTGGCAACCGACAAATCCAGGGCAGCGGTCGCAGACTATAAATACTAACTTTAGATTGGCAATCTTAATATCTTCGGAGATGTAACGTATCCATTTTCATTTACAAGAATATTTCCTGCGCTGTCTTGTTTTATAATTGCTATTTTTTCATTGTTCACCATTTTTATTTTTTCTTCCTCTGATTATTTTTTTTATACACATTTTGAGTAATTTATGGTGGAATGCCAGACGGAGGCAGAAAGAATAATGTGCGAAAGTCTGATTTATCAAAGTATCTTTTATTCGTGATTTAAGAACATGTCTGTACATGTCGGTGTCCGTCACTCAAATCTCTCATCCGTTATTTCGTATTAGCTGTTTTCCCTATATTTTTTTCCTTCGAGATTATTCTTAAATAACAAATATCTTAATTCTTACAAACAAATATAGTTTCGAAAGAGAACTTGTTTGCTATTATTGTTTATCTCTTGTCTATTATCTTGATTGTTAAACATTTCGAATTATGTTTTTCAACCCGCAGGAATTCGATATTACAAAGACTTGAAAATAATGATCATGGAATATATGTCTAGTTCCGAACAATACAAAAAGAAATTATTACAAGAGAATATAGAAAATAAATCTATTCTGTTGAACTGATACCGGATATGAATACATGAAATGCCTTCGTATTTGCGTGTATTTAGCTCGATTCTCTGAGAATAGATAATTCAGCGAAATATCCAAATATTGCCGAAAAAATGTGACCGTGAGAGTCATGACGATATCGTTATAACATAAATCAAATTTTAATATAATGTAAATCTTTCTAATAAAAAAGAATAACTTCAAAACAATTTCAAACATTTGTAAGACATTAACAGTAAATATAAATTTAAAAATAGATACGTAATATTTATATATAATATAATATTATTAATTATTATGCATTAGCGCCTGACTTTTTAATCTAAATTTTCTACAAATATAATATTTAATGAATATTGTTTTCTAAACAATGAATGCCGATAATTTTAACTTGCATATCTCAAGTACTATTAAAATATATAAATAATATCAATGAGATACTGAAATTTATACTCTAAGAAAGTTTCTACTTTCATACTTATTAATGTTTTATGGTATTCAAAATTACCGCTACTGATTGAATTTCATTTGCCCTGCATTGCTTGCACTGACTCTAAACCCAGTGCAGTCAGTTCAGTGAACTCGTGCACTAAGTTCTGTTGCACTGGAATAACGAACAATATCGTTGACGTCATTTCGGGAATAGAAAACGCTTTAGTGTAAACTTCTTGCACTAGTTCAGGAAGTTCAGGAATAAAAAATAAATGTAAAAATAAACTCTGAACTAATGTAGCCAGTTCAGTTAAAAAGAACGGACCCTAAGATTGTAGCATAAGCCAGCTCTCAGTGAATTGTTGCACTGAATTTCATTGCACTGCAATAAAGAACAGTGTTGTTGATATCAGAGGGTTGATATCGATTGTGTATCTTTGTCGACTTTCCTCACTTCTTGCATTTTCATTTCACATGAAAAAATATGCGCGATTGGCTATGAGCATAGTGAAAATACGATATCCCTGTGCTGACGAGAGTGAAAATCACAAATGCGAGTCCGAGCAACTGAATACATTTTGTCATATAACCTTGTAATGTTAAAAAATATCGACTGTGTAGATAATGTATGTTACAGAAAAACAAAAAGAATTAATCATGTTACTTTAGATAATCTATAACATATATGTATGTATTCATCTATATACAATAATATTAAACTATAACATTATATATTTGTAGACTAATTTTATATAAATTGTAATGTATGTTGAATTAGGAGACACAGTAGTGTCAAGTCATATATTATACGTAAGACTTTGCAGACATTGAAAAAAATATTAGGAACAGAAATTAATATTAAATGTTTTTTTAGCAAAATAAAAATTAAGAATGGGTTAACATAATGCACAATGGATACAAATTAAGATATAAAATATATAAATATGTCATATATTTTATTTGTAGCCATTTCGCATTATGTTTATAAATCTCTATATTTTTCTTTATATTTATATATAAATATTAAATATTGTTAAAGATTAAGGAAGTTTACTTGTGCTTTATGTAGCAAATCCATGAGTGTGAACGGAGCATGAAAGAAAAAGTTTGAGCGAGATCTGCCGTTAAGAATTAACAAATGTGATCGATATCGATCCTTCTGGAGAGTTCTGATGAGGTTAGGTAGCGCAAACGCTAGCCCATTTAGTTGTTTCCGCCTTTTCCGCTCTCTTCCGTGCTCCATCACCAGCGTATAAAGACTTGTATAGAGTTCCTCTGTGTTAAAACTGAGATTCGTTGTATTAATAAAAAGTAAATGTGAACGCAACCTTTCCGGTGGTATTATTGAATAAAAAACTCTTGAATGTCTCAATAAATATTTATTCCTGTTTTATTTCTTCCATTATGTGCAGGGCCTAATCGTAATTTAAAATAAAATACAATTTGCTCATATCCTATACAATTTGAGAAATGTATTATTCGGGATGTCAAATGAATCTTGTGTATCTCTTAATTTTCTCCTTATTATATTAAAATTTTTTTGGTGGCATCTATTCCTATCTCTTTCATTTTCTTCAGCAACATAATAGCAAAATCTATTATTTTTAATATTAATCAATGTACATACTATCATCCTAAAAACTGTAATACGATGCAAGCAACACAA